AGTGGGTACTTCGCACATACGTGTATATATGCATATATACGTGTATGAGTACTTTTGCTTACTGAGAGTCCGCTCTTATGTAGTTGTGCTCCAGGTCAGGGTTAAGATAACTAGAAAAAATGCACACATGCAACTGCGTGTACAAACATACATATGTACGTACATAGAAAAAATTTATAATTTAGTAGAAATGCAACTTGCAGAGCACGGTTTTCAATTGAGTTATTTGTGTTTATGTTTTTAGCCAATATCGCTTTGAGCATTGCATACATATATATAATATGATTGCATTTATACAGTCAAGTAAGTAATCTAAATAAATATCCTTGACAATTGCATCATAGGGAAATGAATAGAGAGAGAAAGGGAGAGGGAGAGAGCGAAAGAGAGTGGAGAGACGAAATTGAATCGTCTAAAAATGGGACGAAAGTTTAGAATCTAATCAAAGCAATTGCATTTCTGGCATTATGCCTATGCCAATGAGTGTGGTTCAGCTGAGATACAAGTATTTCTGTGCAAATAAAAAGTTCTATAGAAAACATATATTACTTGAACCAAATCAGAAAAATATTATATTTAATATCTATCCCTTGAAAATCGCTAATTAAGTTAAGAAAAAGAAAGAATTGCTGCCTTCGGTCATGCCGAAGATAATGATATCTTTGAATATGCGTGTGTAGACCGAATCTTAGATGCATTTGTGGTGGCTGTTTGACCCAAATAAAAAATCAGTTAATCTGGTTCCAACGAATGATCATTTGAATTTACAGGTGGACGGACTAGTTTTGCGTACAAACAGATGGACATGACTAAATCCACTCAACTCAGCTCGTCACTCTGATCATATCGGTAAAAATTTTGATGGATATATCTCTTCTCCTTGTGGTACTTACATACATCGAACTAAAGTTCATACATAAGTTCAAGAGTTGAAAATCTAGACTCTGAGAGTTTTGATTTTGTAATGGAATTGAATTCTCTGATCTTTCGGTGTTCACCTTGAGTGTGAAGGAGCTCGGTATAGTGATCCCTTAATAGCACCTTAAATCACTCTATCTATACATAAACCTTAGCATCGATCCAGTTTGCCGCAGTCCAATTGAGAGTTTTTATACGTAAGTCGACTCTTTAGACTATGATGATACTTAATAATAACTGTTTGACTCATGTCACAAAAACCTCTCTCCCTAGTAAACAACTTGGATTAAAGAATTGTTGTGTTGGTCTGTAGCAGATGAGCAAATCTGTTCCCATTCAGTGCAAGTGACAGGTGTGACCGTGACCTTAGTCGGCAGTCTATACTTCATTTATGCTTCTGGCGCACGACTCAGCCGAGAGTTAGGTACCACTCTGTGTTTACCAATAAATATAATCTCATGACAACCTTTCCGTCAGACTTCTACCCAATATTGGTGAGGCTTAGTGTTCCTTTTTTTTAATTATTTTGTCTTCTCTAACTTTGTCGCGAAGATATTGCGGTGGAGACACCATCGCAGAGATAGATTAGTCCATCGAACTGCGGATGAAGTAGAATACCTCTCGTCTACAAGGCATCTGTGTGTACTTCACTAGACTATCTAGAAGTTTGCAGTTTATACAACTAGTGGAAACAATTGGATGGATCAGAAGAACAACGATCTGGTTTCATTACAATTTCCAACATGATCCAAAGAGCGAGAGACAGGGGAAGGGAGAGAGATAGGTAAAGAGGGAAAGAGAGATAGAGAGGGAGATGGAGATAAAGGTCGAGATGAATAGAGAAAGAGATGGAGAGAGATATATACATATAAAGAGATAGAGATAGAGAGATAGAGAAAGAGGGAGANAGAGAGAAAGAGAGAGAAAGAGAGAAAGAGGGAGGGAGGGGGAGAGAGGGAGATTAATAGATTAATAGAGTGAAAGAGATAGATTGAGAAAGTGAGAAAGAGAGATAGAGAGCAAGAGAGAGAGAGCGAGAGAGGGAGATATAGCAAGAGATAGAGAGATTTATAGATATAGAGAGGCATAGAGATGAAAGTAGTACCTGCGCACATGGCCGAAATAGGAAAAAAGAGATAACGAGATTTGTACTCCTTAAAAAGTGTGTTAGAAGTTCTGAGAGAGAGCTTAGCGGCTTTCTATAGGAGATGCTGCAAAAGCCTCAAGGATGATAAGAGGTAAAAGACTGTCAGCCATCTTTTCACCGACTGTCTTGTTTGTTGCAGAGTTAGGTTTCAGAATTTCAGATGGCTGGTTAATCGAAGATAACCGACGTCAAAGCCATGGATCTAATGAGATTCATTAGAGAATCACAATGGCTGGATAACTAAACCTAATCGTTAATCTTTTGTGGCGTCCCAATGAGTCTTAGTCAGGCTTATGTATAATAGATACTAAGTTTGGTAGCCAGTGCAACCTAAGCTTAAACTAAAAGCCAAACAAAAATAAGCAATTGCTGGGTCACAGTTGCTTAACTTCTCTATTCGTCTCTCTCTCTCTCCCTCTCTCTATCTCACTCTTTTCCTCTGCCTCAGACATTACGTTGCGTACATAAGTAGAAGAAGGTGTAGAATAAGAAGAAGAAGCAGAAAAAGCTGTTTACTGCAATTCTAGTTAAATGCAGTAACGAGTCAAGAAAACCGCTGCTGAGTTGGCAGCAGCTGCAATTTAAGCACAAATGCTCTAAAGCACACACAATTGTATGCAATAGCATATATGTATGTATGTATGTATGTAAATACGTATGTATGCAAGTATGAATATTTGCGCTGGCGTAAGCATAAAAAAACACAGAGCGAGTTTTAAAATTACGATTATTTACATAACCATGACAGTCGGCCGCAACAAGGACAACGAATGACAATTGTTAAAACAACAACAACAACAATAGTGGCAACAACATTTTCAACTTATTATAACTGCAACAACAGCAGCAACAAAAATGACAATTGCAATATAATCTGCGTAACATGGGAATGCAAACAAACGTAAGCCGAAAGGCGAGAAGAAGGAGAAGCAGCTACGGCAGCAACAACAAAAATTGTCTTCTACGTACATATATGTATATAAGTTAAAATAAAAAACATTAAATGAAGAACAATAAAAACCAAATGACATTATGCTAATTCAGGAAGCTACTAACGGCATACAACCAACCAGTCAGCGCGCCAACCAAGCAGATACCAACCAATTCTAGTAGAGAAGACACTCAGCTAAGCGGCTGAGAGTTGGCAGATAGAAGAAGTCAGTTGAAAGGTAGAAAGAAGCAGCATAGTGTTTGGTTAACGGCTTCAAGCACAAAAAGTGTGTGTGTGTGTGTGTGCGACAAGGATAGACTGCGAATGAGTGAGCGAGCGAGCGTGTGTATGCAGGGATAAAAAGGATAAAGTTACGGCGATTATGCGGAGGAAGCCAAATAGAAAGTTACTAAAGGCAAAAGTTTACACAGAGAGAACTACTACTCAACATACATATATACATAGAGAGTACACACAATGACCGAACTATGCGTGAGGAAGGCGATGAGGGAGCAAATTGATATGAAGAAGAGCAAAAGGAAATAATATTAACTAAATGAAAAGAAGCAAAATATTGACAACAGTAATAAGCGAATGCTAAAGTAAAAAATAAGTTTATGCTGGAAAAAAATAAAAAGTCAGGAATTTAGTCAACAAATAATAAAAAAAAAATTATGTGTAGATATAAACGAATTTTACCACAACTTACCTATGCAATAAGTTAGCAGTGACTTAACGAAGGTATACTGCGGCCTACTTACTTTGCGTGATCATTACATTAGCAAAAGTTGAATGAGTATGAGAAAATTATAAAGGAAGAGTTGCAAGGCTTAAAAAAAAATTTGTAAAATTATTTATCATAAACTCATAATACAGTAGAATGGTCAATGGTTTTCGGTGTGATCTCTTGCTGAAATTTTAATTAAAAAAATTCTTATCTGAATAATCGGTCATATATCTGTTATATGATATAGTCCTACGGTTACGATGCTTTCCGGTTTAAATATAATATTATAGTAAATATGTTTTAATTTAATTATTAATTACTTTATTTAATTTTAATTTAATACATTATATTTTCATTTATTTTATTTTATTTCACGTTATTTCATTTTAATTTTATTGTGTTTCGTTTCTTTTATTTAATTTAACTTTATTTCATTTTTTCGGTTTAATTTTAATTTATAATCATTTACTTTATATTACTTCGTTTTGTCCTTTTTGTTCCTTTAATTATTTTTTTATTATTATTTATTTAATTTTAATTTGTTTTGTACATTATTTTTTACTTTAATTTATTTAATTTTATTTTATTTGGTCTATCTTATTTTATTTTATATTTATTTCTATTTTATGTCATGTTCATTTCATCTATGATATAATTTAAATTTTTTAATATACTTTATTTTATTTTACTTAATTTCAATGCAAATTTTGTATTTTTAAATTTTGTTATTTGATTTTTTCTCTCTTATTTAATTTTAATGCAATTTTTATATACTAAATTTTTTTTATTATATTAAATTTTATTTCTTTTTTAAATTAATTTAATTTTAAGCCTTTTATTACAATATATTATATTATTTCATTATGCTATAGTTTCTTTTATTTTTATTTTTTACTTTAAATTATTTAATATATTTAATTTTATTTCATTTTATTTTATTTTGTGTATTTTATTTTTTAGTTTATTTTATTTTTCAAAAGTAATGTAATTTTGTTTTATTTTCTTTTTATATTTACTTAGTTTTAGTTTTTACCTTTGTGCTTAATTTTAATTTAATTTATTGCAATATTGAATAAAATGATATACCTTTCTCCAAATCTGATATTTGTGCTTGCTAACCCAACTTAGATGGCTACTACGTCGGTTAGATACTTTACGATAAATTTAATTTCCCCAATAACGACAAGTGTGATAAAATTACTCTTAATTGGATTTAAAAGACTGTCTTTTAAATATTATTACTTACCTAACTTTTCTCTTTACTCTTCTTTTTCCAGAACAATGCCAGTCAATCCATGAAAAAGGAACTCTGCGAGTATACGTCTGCAATTTTGATTTTACAAAAATTAATTCTTCATTCTTCCCGGAAATATTTTTCACCTACACAACTAAATTTAATTTTAAAGTTATAAAATAAAATTTTCAACTCAACATAAATGAAAATAAATTATATTCGCGTCTGTAAATGAAGTAAACGAGAAAGAGCAATAAAACTGTACGAAAGTTATATTACCTAAAACGAAGTTAAAAAGAAATTATGTGAAATTAAGCAAACCGTCGAATGAAGTTAAAAAGCATCAAGAAAAAAACTTTATTGTGATTTCATAAATATTAATAAAAGTAACTAAACGCGAGTAGCAAATAAAAAAGTTGGGAAAGAATAATAAGCGGAAAACGAAAGGAAACAAATTGTTATATAAATAAAAACAAAATGCTATACGAACCACAAATCAAACGAAAGATGTCGATAAGTAGGTGTTGCCACAACGCCAGCGGTAGTTGGGGTGGTGGTGGCTTCACAGTCGCTGCAGCGACGCAAGTCTTCCTCGTACTGACGCTGTTCGTGGTTGGGAATCTAAGTGCCTGGCAGGAGAATGTGCGGCCGAAACTATATGTGGAATTAGGTAAGTGATTAAATTTTATATATTATTTATAGAAAATAAATCAAAGAGTAAACACATAAAAAAATCCAAACAAAAATTAAATAAAATAAAAAAAATAAAATAAAATAATATAACATAAAATAAAATAACATAAAATAAAATAAAATAAAATAAAATAAAATAAAATAAAATAAAATAAAATAAAATAAAATAAAATAAAATAAAATAAAATTAAATTAAATTAAATAAAAATAAATAATATAAATAAAATGAAATAAAATAATATGAGATAAAATAAAGTAAAAATGAAATGAAGTAATGTAATGTAAATGAATAAACATAAATTACAATATAAAAACAAAATTATTTAAAATTAAGTAAAAATAAAGGTGTAAAAATAAGTAAAGTTTAGTAAAACAAAATAAAATAAAAATAGCTAAAAAATTAAATAAAAACTAAAGGTAAATTAATTTTTGTTTGAATTAAATAATGTTGACTAACTTAAAACCATTTATTTTCTAACATTGGCAAAGAATTTCAACGCTCACATTTCCATAAAATTTCTCAACACATAGCAAATATATCTTTATATTTTATGCATTTACATATGTAGACGTTAGTCCTGAACCAACACGCCTGCCACTCTTTGTTATGTGTACGTATGCACTACTTCTCGTGATACCTTTTTCGCGTGTCAATTAGTGTTGTACTTCCGCGCTTGCGTCAACGGTGGAAGCGCGTGTCAAGTGTGTCGGCGCGTGTGTGTGTTAGCAACTACTTGGCACATGGAAAACCTTGTAGATATAAATATAAATAACTATATGTGCCACATCCGACTGCACGTATACGTTTTACGACAACTCTGCCGTATAAAGCTGCTTTTCACTGGGTGTGTGTGTGTGGGTATGAATGTGCTTTTGTGATTTTATGAAATGTGAAAATTAAATCGTAAATAAAATACATAATGAGCGGCAACAAAAATGCAATAAACAGTTACGGTTATGTTGCTACGCTGCTAAGGGATTATATATTGTACATACATATGTACGCGCGCGCGTCCGTACACGTCTCACTCGCTGCGACTGTCTTCCATGCCAACATTTACAACATCATAGTATTTTTAGCTGCCAACACAAGGCCATAATAAGCAAAAATATGTGTATTTGTACTGCGGCAGTCGCGTTTATTTGCGTGCAACGTACAACTCGCTAATGTGTGGCGCAAACATACAGACAAACGCATAACTGTACGTTGTCATCGATCGGCGACCAGACCAACAACAGACAAGCCAAAGTGAATATGCACATACGGCAAACTGAGTCACTCCAAAAAACAAGGCTTTGACGTTGGAGTTACGCGGCGCACACGACGCGAATTTGGCTTGTCTTTGCCTCCCGTGGTTTCTCGCTTTTTTTTCTTACACTACATGTTGCATAAATAGCAAAATTGTTCAGTTTAAGCGCTGTCGTCTTGTTTCTTTTTTTGCATTTTTCTTTTTGCAAGCATAGCATTGCCCATTTCAATCAAACCACTACCCGTTGCTGCACCGTGGTCTGCTCTGTCTCTCCGTGTGTCGGCCTTTGCGCTATTTCACATTTGTACGCTTTTCAGAAATTGAAACCGCAGGCGACTCACGCACTGCCGCCCTTTGTAGTGGGGCTCATTACCGGTATTGCGCTTGTTGTCGATGTCGCTGCCGCTGCTGCTGTCGCTATCGTTGCAAACCGCTGCTTCTTAATTAAGTTCAACGGAAATGTGGATAATTTCATGTCGATAGCCGTTAAACACATACCTACCTACATGCTTATATACATACACACATAGCATGTTACATACATAATAAATGTCAGACGACACACGATTGTCCTCTGAGGTCGACGCGCTTATTACCGGTGTACGGCGGCATACGTGTGGAAGACATTTTGAGACACCACATTATTGTCGCACATACAACGGCGTGTGTTCGATCAATCGTCCGTCTACGCGGTGTCGGTGCGAGTTTGACAGGTTTCTGTTGCCCATTTACGGCTTGCATGTTTGCTTTGCTGTTCGGTTTTGCGGTCGAATTGATGTTGAAGTACTGGTATGTCACATTGCTCAAATGCCGTGACATATTGGCAATATCAATTGATGGGACAAGCGGGGTTAGAGAGCTGCGAACCGTTTTTCGCTCGATGACGGTGGCCTTTAGGTTATCGGCTTTACTATGGCTTGAATATGTTGTTCAAGCACTGTGAGAACTCTTTGGCTGTCTTGAAGTTCCTTTCGGCTGAAGTTGACGCTGAGTTCTCTCAAAGAGTAGACTAGGGAAGAGGCCCTTAAATTAAGTCGTATGAAGTTTGTGACAGCTTTTCCTATATGCTATGGCGATATCATCAGCATTCCTGTAAAGAACATCTTCACAGTGATGCTCTAGAGCAATGAAAAGAGTGTTCCGCCCTGAGTAAGGCTCTACTCTCGTACGAGGATACTTGACATGTTTCGAGATTCGCGGTTTGAGTTTTTAGGTGATTAATAAAATGCAATAAAGATGGCTCTCACTTCTAAGCTCTTCAATGCCGTTTTAACAGAATTCGTTAAAATATTGTTAAAAGCACCACTTTGTCTAGGAAGCCGAAAGATACCAGGTATAACGGTTCTTGATTTTCGTTCTTGATAAGCATACTTGGTAACCATTTCAAACGTTCGAATCATGATTTACTAGTTTACTAACTTTATGGCATGCCTTTTGATGTTATCCAACAAATTGAGGAGCCTACGATTTATACTAAGCCGCCTCTGAATGGCCGATGGATTTTTATGTGGAGCAACCGATGTGCTACACTTATTAGAGCTTGCGAGTGCTTGCAAAAGTGGGTAACAAGAATCAATTCAATAGACTTCTTTCCGAAAGTTGTCCATAAGCTTAATCCCCAAACAAAGAGTGGAGTCAACAGAAAGCGCAAGAATGAGCAGCCACAATGTTACGTCGGCTATGTATGCTTCGCTCCGATTATAGCCCTTTTTTCGACTAAACCTAATCGGTAAGACTTTGTAGCCAAGTTGATTGAAGCGGGTATTACCTAGCAGATAGTCCTTGGTACGAAATTTCTTCTAAGTGCAGGCTCCCCTCGATAGGGAATTTCAAGCCCCCTGAGTGTGTTTCTGACATCAAATAAAAAGTTACTCATAACAATCCATCGGTCATTCGGATGCGGATTAGAATAAACTGTAGGTCTCGCCGTGTGTTGGAATAAGCCATCGAGACGTACACACCAATTGAAGGATTCGCATCCCTCTGCCATGCCTATACAACCGTTTGACGGTTTGGGGCGAAAACGAAGTTTTACCTGTTGTTAATGGTTTTCAGCCCGTCATTGCTTTTGTCATTCTATCCAGTCAAATGTTCTTTTCACTAGATCATCTTCATCGTTTGGAGTGATATGTTCAAACCAGCGTAGACGTTGAATCTGTATGCGTTTAACTATTTTCATGTTATTATAGAGCTCATACAGTTCGTGAGCAAGGTCATAGGTCTTGCATGGGAAACATCTTTCGAATGATCTTAGATCATTGCCACTTTTCTTTGTCATCGTGCATGTTTTTGCGCCATACAAGAGGAAGGGCAATATCCGAAATTTATAGAACGTTTTTTAGTTCGTCGAGAGAGAGCTCCACTTTTTATTTTCGTAGCGAGCTTGAAGATTAATTTCAAATGGCATTGGTTGTCGTACATATAGAAACAATTAAGGAATACTCGGTGGGTCTCTCTCTCTCTCTGTAAAATTTCGTTTCCTTACTAATTTTCCTTCACGACTAACGCTCCTTTTATCCTACACTCTCTGCATTTTTTTTTAATATTTTTTTCTCTATTAAATAATATATATATCTTTTGTAACTCTCCCCCTTTCTTGTCTAATTGATTAATGCATTTTCAGAATTTCGTAGAACTCATTTTAAATTTAGAATTCCTCCACAAGGCGCCAATTGTTTCTTAGTTTTCTTCAACGTCATCCCTTTTTAAGTTTCAAAACTTCTTTTTTTCCGACGACTATTCACAGTGTGCTTGAGGTATGTATGCATGTACAGATGTACTTATGTATGAATACTTCGTCCGTGTCCTGTGCTGTGTTCATGCTAAAAATATACAGTTAAATAAAAAAGAAAAAATTTCATGGAAAATATAATTTGCATAAGAAGAGAAAAGATATTCAATGTCTTTCTGGTTGGCTGATAGAGGCACCCCAATGGATTTATATACATACAAATATATACCAACAAAATTACAAAAAAAAAAAATATTTTTACACAATATATGAACTATATGTATTTATACATATATTGCATGTACAAGCATATCGTCAATTTTTTCAAGCATACATATGTGGCATGTTGTTGGCAAGTGAGGACCATGAGGATGAGCTAAAGCCAAGACAGACAGCCAAAAATAACTCAATGAGTTTTTCTTAAAAATTACATTATTAAGAGCGCATTTGACTGTAGAGTAGATATGTAAATATGTATTTGCAATGAACTGTAAAGAGCCGTTCCAATATTTTCGTTGCCAATTTTTAAAGGATCTGCTTGTTAAGCGCAAAAAGAAAGCGTTTCTCTTTGGTTCAAACATCAATTGTAGTTTTCACCTTAAAGAAATTAAGCTTGAGTAAAATCTAGTTCTCAACTTGACAAAATCATAATTCAATACTAAAAAAAAAAATTGGGGTTCTCAATTTCAAAAATTTTGCAAATGTTAGTTCTTTTCTTCTTCTTTTTTCTTACTAGCACCGCTTACGCCCTTATAGCCGAGTTAACAAAAGCGCGTCATTCATCCCTTCTTTTCTCTGTTTGAAACTAATTGGAAATACCAATTATATCCAGACCGTTCTCCATTTCGTCTTTCCAGTGGAGTAGAAGCCTTCCTCCTCCTCTGTTTCTACCGTCGGATACTGCATCGATAACTTTACCATCAAGAGCGCTGTCTCTTTGATTCGCTGTATTATATCAATGTCGCCGTATCTCTCATAGTTCTATCGGCTGCGGTA